ATTGTTTGAGGTCCTTGCTAACACAGCGCGCGCGCCGTGCTCGCTCAGGTAAACGAGGCCCGGGCCTTTGAACAAAACTCAAGCTTGTTCATCCTCGCGCTGGACGAAAGCAACGGCGAAGGCGTTGCCGCCGGGGTAGGGGACTTCCTCGACGGGGCTGCCAGCGGCGTGGCAGGGGGCGCGGGCGGACAGGCGCCGGACGGCATGCAGGTGCCAGGATCAGAGAGCTGGGAGGTAAGTAAGACCTAGTTTCGAAAGGGAATTTCGTTGGGAGCCGCCCTCTTGCTTGCCTAGCGTCGTAGCGCCCGAGCGTATGTTGCTCCAAAAAGACTTGGTGTCAGAATTGGCACGCCGGAAGAAATATATTTGCCCGACGCTGTCGATGGGCGTCGCTTTCTTCCCCCTCTTTGTTTCTTCTGTGTGCACTCGAAACTAGGCCTTCCATGCACCTCACAGCACCCTCTTTGGATTTTTGGATCATTCTGCGATGCAACCTTCCTAGGGAGACAGCGGTGGTGACAGGGAGGATCGTGGCCATAACAACAGCAGCAGCGCGGAGGTAATAGGTTTGTTCTGTGCCCATGGGGGTAAAGAAATGCATAGGGCTGGGCAGGCGACCTTTATTTTTTCGTAGCCCCAGCCGATGCGGAATGATTGGATAGGGAATGCGAATTCGTCGTGGGTTCCCGCCGAAACCCAGGGCCCAGGCTCCGTAGCGAACGCAAACATTTCGTCCGCCCCACCCACCCAGCACCCCCCATCCGTGTTAAATCATTCGTCGAAACCCGTCCGGTGTCATACTCCCCCAGGACTCCAGCAGCGGGTGCCTCAACGGCGACGACGCCTCTGAGATGTCCGATAGCGACGGCGACGGCCAGCCCGGCACCAAGGTTTGTGTTTCGTCGCCGGCGCAGCAGGTTCTCTTTGTTCTCCTACGGTTGTTGGTGATGCTGCAGACGGTGGTGTTGGTCGTTCGTCCTTACCTCCGCGTCTCGGTGCCTGCAGAGGGCACACGCGCGAAGGGGGGAGGGAGGTACTCAGTGTCATACATGTCGCACAGACCCACGAAGCCGGGACGGAGCATGCCTTCGTTTTTCGCGGGACTAGGTCCGCATTCACATGGCGCGAAGAACACACCAGGTCGCGGCGGCTGCGCACTGGGAAGGGGGCAGTCTCGCGCCATGAGGAGTAGCCCTGCCCTTTGTGCTTTTTTACGATCTTTCGTCGACCTCCCAGCTCTCAGGCCATGTTCTTTCAGAGAAGATGGGGGTGGGTGCTCTCGTCGCGAGTGTAGACTGCCCGGTGCCCGATGACCGCCGATACGATGCGCCGCACGTATGCGGGAGGCCGTAAACGAGACGTCGCGTGTCTGCGTTGTCGTTTAGCCGAACAAAACGTACTGTGAAATATCGGTCATGGTAGACAGTTCTTCCGGGGGTGACGCCGAGTCGGACGAAAACAGTAGTCGCGTACGCACGCACAATGCAACAATGCCAAGTAACCTTCCCCCCCCCGCCCTCGCCCCCTTCCGTTATCATCGCTCTCGCACCAGCAGTGCGGAACTGCGGCGGCGGCGGCGGCGGCGGCAGCAGCAGCGGGGACGCCAAGCACCACAAGTCCGGCGGCGGCTCGGGAGAGACCACGAGCGAGGTTATGCTTTGTGTGTGCTTGTCGAAGAAAAGAAAGGGTGCGCCTTCAGATGCTTTCCCCTCAAAAGCAACCCGGTAGAGCGGCTATGACTGCCCCGCGGTTGTTGTGTCTTTTTTGTTAATGGCTGTCGCGTTATTCCCTCATTTTCCTCGTCACCTGTTTTGAGTGCGTCCCCGCTTGGAGGTAGGGAAGATTCCCTCGCTGTCACTTTCCTGCCTCGAGGTCGTGTCGAAACGAAAACAGATTCATTCGCCCTGCGCCCTTAGCTGCCTGCCCCGTGCATCCGGATGCGCACTTGGGGTTGTTTCACCGCGACGGTTTCGTGGGCGAGCGTGCGCAAGTGCACCCCCTTGTTCACGCCGAAAGTATTGAGCATGCAGTTTTTTCAAACGGCTCGCGCGCTCTCAAAACGCGCAAGACCTGATGACAGGGTCGACGATGACGGCCCCGTCGGGCGTCGGCGGTCAAGGGTAGAAATAGGATCAAGGTCATCGGTTTTTGTCGAGAACAGCCCGCAGCGAATGCTACGTACAGACCAGCCGTCGGTCAGACATACACCCTCTTGCTTCATAGGGCTCTGGCGACGCATCCCTGTCAAGACGCAAACACACACATTCTATGTCTTTGCTCTTCCCCTTTCCCCCGCCACATCCTCCCCGCCGGCTGCGTCACGTTACCGCCCCAGAGCAACCACGACAGGGGCGCTGCCCTCTCGCCTGCCCAGGCAGATGCCATACAGTCTCTCGAGTGCGACCCGGAGTGGTTGTTTCTGCGTTTGTATTGACGACAGGAAGGTCACCCCGGCGGCGATGCAGGAGGCCCGCCGCCTGTTGGAGAACCCCCGCGAGTTGCACGGTCTCCGGAACAAGGCTCTGGACCACCCCCGAGTCTGCCGGGGCACCAGATCGGCGGAGGACCTCGACCGCCAACAGCTCCGCAACCTGGCCGCCACCCTACCCGACAACGGCCTTGTCAAAATCCTCAGGTTCTCCCTCGGCGACCTTGCGGGCGCTAGAGAGAGCGTGTGCCGAGGCGGAGCTGCAGGGGCCGGTGGAGTTGAGCAAATTCGTCGGCGACCGGGGTGTCGATGCGCCGGTAGTTCACGACCTCCCGGCGTTCGCCGGCGACCCGGCTGCCTGGACAGCTCCGATCCTCTTGGAAGCAGGGGATGTGCCTTCAGTATCAGAGGCGCGCGTTCCTACCACAATGAACCCATCGCCACCACCACACCAGTGGGAAGGTGTCCCAAGCGGCCAGCAACGTCTCGTCCTTCGAGGGTGGGTCGGTCGACACTGTTCCAGTGTCGGTCCCGCGCCCAGCCTGGGCGATGTCCCCACCACCTGTACACCCCGACACCAGGAGCCGCGGTGAAGTAGTGAAGGAAAGACCGAGCCCGGACGAGCGTGCGACCACTACGGCTGCTTGACGGAATTCGAGGCGTAGCTGTGACAGCGCAGCGCAGTGGGGGGTCGCGGACACCGAGGACTCGTTCCGATCCCCCTCCACCTCCACGCAGGATGCCCCCAGTCGTTTTTCGTGCCCGGCCGGTCCACCCTCGAAGACGAGACGTTGCTGGCCGCTTGGGACATCTTCACGGTCGTGCAGGAGCTGGCGTCGGTTGGGAGGCGGAAGGCGTTTCGTCTACTGGGGCCGCCCACCAGAGCACGGCTCTCCGCGACGCCAAAGCTCTGGAGAGCACCGCGCGGGGGGACCTGGAGCTGCATCGAGCATGCCCCAACGGGGGAACGGTCACCGACACGCGCGTCGGCGAGATGATGCTGGATTTTCTATGCGAAGCGATCGAGATTCACGCCGCGGCGAACGGAGGGCCTACGGTGAACGGCATGCGGCGGTGTGACGAGCTGGAGGAGGCGCGCGACCAGGGCTTCCCCAAATCCGCGAGGTGGCGGGGCGCGTGGGGCGGGAGGTTCGGGGCAAAAACGTCCGGACCCGAGACAACTGCGCCGCTGGAGGTATGTACGTATAGCAGTTGGTATATCGGAGCANCGGGCCTAAGGTGAACGGCATCCGGCGATGTGACGAGCTGGAGGAGGCGCACGACCAGGGGCTTCTCGAAATCCGCGAGGTGGCGGGGCGCGTGGGGCGGGAGGTTCGGGGCCAACACGTCCGGACCCGAGACGACTGCGCCGCTGGAAGTATGTACGTATAGCAGTCGGTATCTCGGAGCAACCGACGGTTTGTTGCTCCTGTTGCTGCTGATGTTGTTGTTGTTGATGTTGTTGATGTTGTTGTTGATGATGATGATTGAACGGCCTTGTTCGAGATCGATTCTCGCATAGCTCCAAAGATAGGACTAGGTCGTGGTGGCGCCAACCTCTGCGTTACCCCGCTCACCGCCGCCCCGTCCGCCCCGCCCCCACTGCCCCTCTTGTGTTTTCGATTGGCGGCGGTTTGGTTGAAACGTTATCAAGTAGGTGTCGGTGTGGAGGATTGTCGTTGTTGCTGCCGTCTATTTCCTTGTTTGTTTCTGCGTTAAGGATTGCTCTCGTTTCTCCTTGTTCGGTCTTCGTCTGCGCCATGCATCCAAACCCGTAGGTAACGCAAGCTGGACCGGCCGCTCGCAGGGGGTCAACGAGGAGGAGGCCGAGGCAGCCAAGCGGGAGGCTAAGGCGGTCCATGCTCCGGCGCCGGAGGAGGAGAAAGCCAAAACGGCGCAAGCCTTTGGAGCAGCGACCAACCGCGTGGAGATGGCCAAGACCGCCAAGAAGTGCCGGGGCACGGGCGGTAAGATTGCCGCCGGCGTTGCATTCGTTCGGACCGGGATCCTATTCGTTGTGCATATGCTGTTGCTGCTGTTCTGGGTCGTTGATGTTGATGATGTTAATGATGATGATGCTAAGAGGGCCTTGCTCAAGAACGATTTCGGTTGACTCCTTGCACCAGACCGCCCCCCTCCCCCCCCGGTGTTTGACATTGGGGTTGGGTTTCGTCGCTTGGCAACGACGTTGCAAAACAAGCCCCCCCCTCCCCCCCGGTGTTTGTCATCGGGGTTGGGTTTTCGTCGCTTGGCAACG